GGTGGTGTGAGTGGTGTTAAGTGAGGTTGATGAAACACACAGATATAGCATCCACCTGCACCTGTTGGAAGAGTGCTAAACAAAGGAACAGTAGTGCCTACCAGGGACTTCTGACCAGAGAGAGCTGCCCTGACCCATGCCCCTCCAGCCCTCACCCTGAAGGTTAATTTAATTCTTGTATATATGTCACTGATGCTTTTAGAGATGCTATCCCTGTACTGGAGCCCAGAGCAAGTGTTTGTGAGCAAGTGAGTCCACATGCAGCTCCCTTGAGAAGAATGCCTGGGACTCGGGGAGCCGTTTCACTCAAATGTAATCCCTGCTGGTTTCTACAACCAGATTAGGGGGACTCCTCTTCCAGACACTGGCGTCCTGGGCTGGGACCCCTCACTTTTCTGAGGGGACCTCCACAACTGAGATATCTCTCCGAATTCTTTACCAGCACTCTGTTGGTATGGAATCTGGTCATTCTGCATACCCACCCATTCTATCTCTCATTGTGGCTACTTAATGTCCTTAGTCATGGGAATGCTGTTCAGCTAGTTTTCAGGTTGTTCTGTAATTTAGTTGTAATTTTCATGTGGTTGTGGGAGAAGAGCAAGTACAGAGTTTACTGACACTGCCATCTTGACTGGTAGCCTGTGTATGATTCATTATTGATCTCAAAAGGTAATATATATTCTTTTTCTCATTAGTACATAAGTACACATATATATGAGTATGCACATTCCTGTTTAATCAGATTAGAATAAATATAGTATCACTTCTTGGCCTTTTGGCTAAGATCAAGTGTAGAATAAACATAGTATGCTAGGCAAGCCAAATAATCCTGCAAAATATTGAGCCATATCAAGAAATAGAAAGAACTGGATAGTCCCATAGACAAAGTAGAAAGTTGGTTCAACAGTTAATCAGCCCTAACAGTCACCTACAATAACCAAGTAGAAAAAGGATTCAAAAGTGTGTTGCAAAATGAGGAAGTAGCTAAATGTTCTATAGAGGAAAATAACAAAAACTACATTCTTCTGGAAGGAGCTAGATTCCCTTGTTAATTATACTAATGAGGCATATATAAGGATTAAATAATGCTAGCCAAGATCACCAAAATGAGAGGACAACAGGCCTGATGGTTTTAGGAAAGGTGAACACACCAAGGCACATTATCATTACATTAGCTAAGATTAAAATGAAGGAGAGAATCCTAGAAGCAGCAACAGATAAGAGGACTGTCACCTACAAAGGAGTTCCCATCAGACTGTCAGCTGATTTCTCAAAAGAAACCTTACAGGCAAGAAGGGGCTGGAAAGAGGTATTCCAAGTCATGAAAACCAAAGACCTACAACCAAGATTGCTCTATCCAGCAAAACATTCATTTAGAATGGAAGGGCAGATAAAGTGCTTCTCAGATAAGGTCAAATTCAAGGAGTTCATCATCACCAAGCCCTTATTATATGAAATGTTAAAGGGACTTATCTAAGAAGAAGAAGATAAAAAAGATAAACAGTGAAAAGACAGCAAACTCACAGTTATTAACAACCACACCTAAAACAAAAGCAAACTAAAAGGACAGCTGTATCAGGAGCAGAATCATAGAAATGAAGATTTCATGGAGCATTAGCAACAGGGGAGTGGGAGGAGGAGAAGGGGGGAGAAGGTACAGAAAATAAGTAGCATAGACAGTAGATAGAAAATAGGGGGGAGGGCAAGAATAGTAGGGGAAATACAGAATCTAAAGAACCTGAGACACGTGTTCATGAACTAAAGGGGGGGATGGTGGGGGAAGGGTGTGCAGGGGGGAGGGGAATGGGGGGAATAGAACAAATGTAATGGCATAATCAATAAAAAAAATGTTAAAAAAAAGAAAGTTATTTGGTCTCTGCAACTAGGTTTTATACATGACCTAAGGATCAGTTAGTTGATAATCCATATATTGCAACTTAATTGGTCTAAGACATTATTTTTATTTTGGGTCTGATAAGATTACTAAAACCCAAGGTAGGTATCCAAATGATGCACGGTAGAACAACATAAATCTAGGAACATGTGAAAAATTGGAACCCTGAGAAAAGGAATGTTGGCTACTTAAAGAATGTCAGTTGGTTCTTAAATTAGTAAGTTGAACATTAATCAAATACAAAGCATAGTGCTTTTCTCCAAGCACACAAGCCCTTTGGATGTAAGAGACTGCCTCAACACAATGCTCCTTTAACACTCTGAGGTTCTGAGAAACAGTCCCACAGATGACTTTGGTGTTGAGCAGCAATCTTTCATTTTATTAGCTTTTCATGTTTATCAAATGTTTCCAGAGTGTTATAAAACACTCGTTTAGGCACTGTCTTTATCTACTGGATTAGGAGTAAGATGATCCATGTTTGAGTGACATTTCAGTCTGAGAAACCCTTAATAATAAATCATTTGTTATTACGTCTAGGCTTAAGGATCTCTTTTCATAAAAGAATGGCAATAACACCTGGTTGGATGGATCAAATGAATCAAATTACCATGTGTAAAATGGCAATGTTTTGCCCTCCTAGACAGAAATAAGTCATAACAAAAGGTTTTTGAGTGAGTACTACTCCTATTCCAAGCAGCAGTATTTTCATGTAATTAACATATATATTTAGGGTTCACTCCTTAACTTGGGCATTTTGAAGAGAACAAAGGACATGAGGGTGAATTCACACTAGAATAACATGGTTTACTGTACAATTAACATAAGCATAATCCCTTATGACCTAAGGAATACATAATAGACTCCTAATTTACAGTTCTTATTTATGAAGAATTGGTAAAAATCCTTGGCCAACTGTGGTCTGATTTAGTCCAGACAGTTCTTTTCTGGGATTGTCCAAATTCTGCTGATCCTCTTCTAAAAATCCCATATTGTTGTGTTTTTCGCCCATCCTGAGACAAACTGCATCCTGTTGGAGCCCTTAGGAATATTCAGGTTTTTTATTTTGGGAATATTCAGGTTTTTTATTCTGGTTGCAAAACTAAACTTTGATCAAAGTCTTTACCAGTTGTAATTAGTCATCTTTTATTTAATACATACCTTTGCTGTCAGACTCCACCTTGGCTCCTTCTCTTCCTGAAATCCAGTGTCCTATACTCTGCCTTCTTACGGCAAATCAATGTTAAATGTAGCTCCTTTTGGTGAAAAGATACTTCCAGAACTGATCCACCTTGAAAATGGATCTCCACTACAATGATATTTGAACACAAAAATACTATTAGACATCCTCCATGACTACTCTAACTCAGGGTTTTATTAAATATTTCACTTCTACCAACGTGTGGGACATATGAGGACAAGTACTTTGAAAAGTTTAACTTCCATGGTGAAATGAGTTTACTTTATTGATTTCTTGGCTTTCAGTGTTTTAATTTTTAAAGGTCTTTAAATCATTTCAGCTTTGGCTTAAGAACTATAAAATCTAGCCCTTTACAGGAAAGAGCACCGGGGAAGTCCTGAATTGGGAGATATATTAGAAGAAAGGTGGGAAGCCTAGGAAACTTCATTCCCACCACATCCTCATAGCCTCTTAGCCACGCTTGAGAAGACTGAGGGAAAAATGAAAAGCCAAGAAACTCAAGCAGACTCATAGTTACCAGCTGTTTATGACGTATGACAGTTTACAATGCTTTGTAACATCAAAGTGTGATTTTTGTCAAACAAGGTAGTAATCATGAACATTAAATTACGTCACCTAAATTCTTTTAGGAGAAAACTGTTATGTAAATATATCTCAAAAAGCAAAGTGTTTAAGCCAATTAATAGTATTTCCTTAGTTGTTTATATAAGACACTAAGAATCTGTCCTGGTTCTTAGCCTCAACTTTGCACCACCGCTCACTCTCTGGTATAATCCGCTACTTCTGGTCTCCCCCAGTGGTGCTGGGAGGCATAGAGAGTTGTAGCCCCTGGTCACTATTAAAATAGAAGATTTCTCTCTATTCAAATCTTTGAATATAGCAAAAACAACTATTTTAATGTAAAAGTTTATGTTTGTTATAGGTAAATTTAAAACTAGAACATGATAGAAAAGTAGACTTCTCTGAATTACTTTTCAGATTTCATCAACATGATCTTCAGTCTTCTCTGAGATTTTTAAAAGTGATCCTAGGATTCATTTGATGAGAATAATGAAAGGATTGCTAAAAAAACTCAATAGTATATTGTCATATTCTATCACATTGTTTCTCAAATAACAGAACAGAAGATTTAGGTGATACATCAATGAATATTTTAAAATTCAAAGTTATATATTTATGTTGATGAAAATTAGAAAAATATAATTAGCATATAAAACTCAGTTTTCATAAATAACACTTCCTAGAAAAAGGCTAAAAAATCAAGTCCCTTTATTAAGGAAACATTAAATATGGTAAAAACTACAAAGGAAGCATACAAATGACTGAAGTTTGCAAACCATTGCTCTTTTGGGTTTATTTCAAGTTTATGTGACTGGCTACACTACATTATATCTTGATTAAACATTGCCTATATAATTTAAAAACTGTATATCATAAAACTAACAGGTGAATAATCACAGGTTATTGCCTACAAAATTTCTGGTCATTAAAAAAGTTTTGCCCTGGCCAAGTAGCTCAGTTGGTTAAAGCATTGTCTCAGTAAGCCAAGGTTGTGGGTTCAATCCTAGGTCAGGGCACACACAAGAATCAAGCAATGAATGCATAATGGGTGGAACAGCAAAATCAGTGTTTCTCTCTTTTTCTCCTTCTCTCTCTAAAGTCATCAATACATTTTTTAAAAAGTTTTATATCAGATTTGGAACACAACTCCTAATAAAATCTTGTTTATAAAATAAATTATTTTCACTTTTTATAATCTCTCTTGGGAATATAATATGCTACTAGTTTAAGGTCTAAATCTATTTCCTTTCTATGCATTAGATGTTTGCTAATAAACTTTCCACTATGAATAATTTAATATTGAATTGGATGGAAAGATCAGACGAAACACTTCCTACATTTATATATTCATATGATTTCCCCCCCATGAGTTATATGCTGCTGATTAAGTGAAGGACTGTGGCTTAAAACATTCTCACATTTATTATATTCACATAATTTCTCCCGAGTATGGATTTTCCTATGTTGATTAAGGTGTGCACTCTGGCTAAAGGCTTTCTCACATTCATTACATTTATAGGGCTTCTCTCCTGTATGAGTCCTCTCGTGCTGGTTAAGATGTGTCCTCTGGCTAAAGGCTTTTTCACAAAAACTACATTCATAAGGTTTCTCTCCAGTATGAAGTCTATGATGTTCAGTAAGGGATGTGATTCGGCTAAAGGCTTTGCCACATTGATTACATTTGTAGGGCTTCTCTCCAGTATGAATCCTCAGATGCTGAGTGAAGGATGAATGCTGACGAAAGGCTTTCCCACATTCATTGCATATAAAAGGTTTTTCTCCTGTATGAATTCGCTGATGTTGAATAAGATGTATCCTCTGGCTGAATCTTTTCCCACATTCATCACACTTATAGGGCTTCTCTCCTGTAAGGACTATCTGAGGTTGGGTAAATGATGAATTGTGGCTGAAGGCCTTCCTACATTCACTGGGTCTCTCTTCAGTATGAATATGATTAATATGAAGAACATGCTGATTGAAGATTCTCCCACACTCATTATATTCATAAGTATTGTTTCTTATATAGTTTCCCTGATAGTAAATCAATTCTGAATTATGTTTGGTGTTATTTCCTTGTGTGTCTGAAGTAAGGGGTATTTCAATTGAAGAAATTTGCTGATGCATTCTAAGATTTGAGTTCATTTTATAGTTTTCCTCAAATCCAGTACATTCAAGGCTTCTCTCCTTTGTAATCTTTTTTTGGATGAAAGATATTTGACCTAAATGTTTCTGCTGGTTTTCTTGGTGAAACTCTAACTGGTAATCAAAATCCCAGAGTCCTCCTAGAATGGAGTACCAGAAATCGTCTCCAGTTAGTCTCTCCATTATCATGTCATGGGTTTGATTTTCATCAGAAAAATTTTGGGTTGGAGTTAATTTTTTGACTTCAGGTCTATTTTCCCCATCTAAAAGAAATTCAGAACAAATTAAGAAGTGCACATTGGTAGTTACAAAATAGTCATGGGGATATAAAGTACAGTATAGGGCATATAGTCAATAATATTGTAATAACTATATATGGTGCCAGGTACTAGACTTATTAAAAAATAGTAACTGGGGGTTTATAGTATAATATATATGTCTAATAACATAAAACAAAAGAAATTCAGAATGTACAAATACTCTGCAGCATATTCTGTGTTTTGAAGAAAGTTGTTGAATAATGAATTACCAAATGAAACTGACAATAATGCAATCAAGACAATTGTGGCACTGAAAAGTTTTAAAATGTGGCCACAAAACAAGTAGAAGAATATAAAAAGATGACAAGAGGCAGTGAGCTGGGGGGAAATTTTAAAGCATGTGTGGTGACTGTGAGATGAAGAGATCATCCAGGAGTGTCTGCAGTTGAAAGAAAATGGGAAGGAGAATAAGAAATATTCAAGAAAGGTCTGTGCTCAGAGGTGGGAGATATTAGAGGAAAAATTGTATTTAGAGAAGATAGGTTTCACCTGTGGATTATTCTACTATAATGACAGCTACTTGTTTATTTAAAAAGTATTTCTTCCTATTTTTGATCTTTTGTTAAAACTAATACTTGTTTATAGTAATATATTCAAATAATGTGGAAATACATAAAGTAAGAATTCCACATCTTAGAGACAATCATTGTTAATAGTTTGGATCTATCTTGCCAGATTTTTCCTATGTTCACACAAATATAAATGTAAACCATATTTTGAACAAGCATGACTCATGGATGTGATAAAAACAAAATTTCATTTCAATCTCCACTTTAAAATTTACTTAGTGGGGGAATTATTCCTTTGCTTCTAGATGAAGATTTGGGCAGGTCCCAGGACTTTCCTCCTAATTCTTATGTAGTAAATAAATTCTTATGTAATAAATAGGTACACCTGTTACATTGTCACAAACACAATCTCTCCTCACTAATTAAAATGTTCACTCACGTGTAGTAGTCAAGACTCCAAAATTAATCTCTTTCGCCTCCTCTGGGTCTGTTAGAGTCATATTTCTTCTCTCTCTCTGCCTGCCTCTTCTCCCACTCTACTCTCTTCCTGGTGACCCCTGTCCCAACTCTGCTCTTTCCACGCTTGTCTTTTCTCTGACTCTATTCTCTTTTCTCACTTCACTATTTCCCTGCTTACCTTTTCCTTCACTCACTATTGTTGTTTAGCTCCATTCTCATAAGAGTTGGAGGATAGAAGCTGTGTGGTGGGAGGAGGGATTAGGAGATAGGACAATTTTTGTGTAACTAGGTGGCTTCATATTCTCAGCCTAGCTGATGGTTGAGCAGACTCCCTTTTGGGAACTCCTGTGACTCTTGGGAGGCTCTCTCTCCTGCCATTTCCATTATCTAGATAGATACAGCTCTATACTGAGTTGTCCCTTGGGAGACACCTGAGGGCATAAACCCTGTCAAACAAGATCCAAGATCATGCTGGCTGACTCAAGAAAAACACCCCTGATACCCTGTCCCAAACACTTGTGTAGTAAGTAGTGAACACTGATCCTAACTCAACAGCTTCTCCTGGCTCACCCACCAAAGCTGTTTCATTAGTCAGCAGTTCTTGGGCCTTGGACTGCTTTAGCTTTCTTAAAGGTGAGTCATGCACTAGTCTTGGTCTTCTGACCTCAGGGAATGTACAAGCATACCTCATTTTATTGCACCCCACTTTACTGCACTTCACAGATATTACGATTTTTACAAATTGAAGGTCTGTGGCAACCTTACACTGAGCATGTCTACCAGCATTTTTCCAACATCCTTTGCTCACCTTGTGTTTCTGTGTCACATTTTGGTAATTCTCACCATCTTTCAACCTTCTCCATTATTACTATATTTGGTATGCTGATCTGTGATCACTTTGATGTTACCATTGTAACTGTTTTGGGGTGCCACAAACCATACCTACGTAAGAAGGTGAAACTTAGTCTACAAATGTGCTCTGACTGCTACACTGACTGGCCTTTCCTTCCATCCCTCTTTCTCTCTCCTTGGGCCTCCCTACTCCCTGAGACACATGAATCTTGAAATTAGGCCAGTTAACTCTAAAATGTCATCTAAGTGTTTAAGTGAAGGGAGGAATTGCACATATCTCACTTTAAATCAAAAGCTAGAAAAGATTAAGCTTAGTGAAGAAGGCTTGTTGAAAGATGAGTTGGGGCAAAAGCTAGGCTCCTTGTGCCAGTTAGCTAAGTTGTGAATGCAAAGGAAAAGTTCTTAAAGGAAATGAAAAGTGCCACTCCAAATGAACACATGAATGAGAAAGGGAAACAGCCTTATTGCTGATACCGAGAAAGTTTTAGTGTTTTGGATAGAATATCAAATCAACCACAAGATTCCCTAAACCAAAGCCTAACCCAGAGCAAAGCCTTAACACTCTTCAATTTTACTGAAGGCTAAGAGAGGTGAGGAAACTTCAGGAAAAAAGAATGAAGCTGTCAGAGGTTGGTTTATGAGGTTTAAGAAAAGAGGGCATTTCCATAACATAAAAGTGCAAGGTGAAGCAGCAAGTGCTGACATAGAAGCTGCAGCAAATATCCAGAAGATCTAGCTAAGATAATTAATAAGGGTGACTTCACTAAGCAGATTTTCAGTGTATATGAAACAACCTTTCATTGGAAGAAGATGTCGCCTAGGACTACCATAACTAGAGGAGAAGTTAATGCCTGGCTTCAGATCTTCAAAGGACGGCCTCTCTTGTTAAAGGCTAATGTAGTTGGTGAATTTAACTTGAAGCCAGTGCTCACTTACCATTCCAAAAATTCTAGGGGCCTTAAGAATTATGCTAAATCTCTTTGCTTATGCTCTATAAATAGAACAACAAAACTTGGATGGCAGCGCAGTTGTTTACAATATGGTTTACTGAATATTCTAAACCCACTGAGCCTACTGCTCAGATAAAACGATTCTTTTCAAAATATTACTGCTCATTGACAATACAGCTGGTCACTCAAGTGCTCTCCTGAAAATATACAACGAGATTAATGTTATTTTCATGCGGGCTAACACAGCATCCATTCTGCAGCCCATGGATCAAGGAGTAATTTTAACCTTCAGGTCTTATTATTTACCACATTTTTCAGACTATAAGATGCACCTTTTTTTTTTTTACCATATTTTTTGCTTCAAATTTTTTTTCCTATTTTCCTCCTGTAAAACCTAGGTGTGTCTTATGGTGCAGACCCCAGATGCACCTAGGTTTTAGGGGAGGAGAATAGGGGGAAATTTTTTAAAGCAAAAAGTGTGGTAAAAAAGCATGTCTTATAGTCTGAAAAACATGGTAAGTATATCTTGTAAGGCTATGGTTGTCATACGTGGTGATTCCTCCGATGGATCTGGGCAATGTAGATTGAAAATCTTCTGAAAAGGATTCCCCATTATAGATGCTATTATGAACGTTCATGATTCATGGGAAGAGTTCTAAATATCAACATTAACAGGAGTTTGGACAAAGTTGATTCCAACCCTCGTGGATGATTTTCAGGAGTTCAAGACTGCACTGGAGGAAATAGCTGCAGATGTGGTGAAAAACTGCAAGATAACTAGAGTTAGAAGTAGAGCCTGGACTTCCACCAAGATGGAGGCATAGGTGGAGACGCCGTGCCTTCTCACACAACCAAGTTTACAGTCAACTAAATATTAGCAACAGAAAACACAGCCAGAACACAGAAAATTGAACTTTTGGAAGTCTGATAACAACAAATTCTTCAGCTTGACCGGTAAGAGAGGCGAAACCAGCAGCTGGCAGAGCGGGGTTGCACAAAAAAACTTGGTCAGAAGGACTCAGGCACAAGGAACCCAGGCGCAGGGTTGCAACGGGTGGACCTAGTGAGCGACCCAGCGAGCGACAGCGGGGAACCAGCGAGGGAGCAGGGCCAAGATTTGACGTTGATTGTGCATTCGTGCGCAGATAGACCAGCAAGGGAGTGGGCGGTGAGATGGGACCCAGCAGGCCCCAGCTGCGAGCAGCAGCAGAGGGCGCAGCCATTTCCCTGCTCTGGCCCCACCTCCACATACAGCGTCATAACCCAGCGACCTGAGTAGCCCTGCCCTGGTGAACCACCTAAGGCTCTGCTTCTCACCCAGCAGCGTGAAACAGCAGAGGGGGTGGCCATTTCCCCGCTCTGACCACACCCTCACATACAGCGTCACAACCCAGCGACCTGGGAGTCCAAGGCTCCGCTCCTCATACTTAACTGGTGTGAACAGACCAAAAATGGCTCAAGAAGATCTCAAAGCCCCAGAACTTATAAATCTAAGTGATGAAGAAATAGCAAAACTCTCAGACGCACCGTTTAAAACACTGGTGATCAGGATGCTCACAGATCTGGTTGATTATAGCCACAAATTAGAGAAACATAATGAAGGCAAAACTAATTGAAATGAATGGAATTGCACAGGAAACCAATAGCGATGAAAAGGAAACTGGGACTCAAATCAATGGAGTGGACCAGAAGAAAGCAAATAATGGCCAAACAGAAAAGAGTAAAGAAGCAAGAATTCAAAGAAATGAGGAGAGTCTTAGGAACCTCCAGGACATCTTTAAACGCTCCAACATCCGAATTATAGGGGTACCAGAAGGGGGAAAGGCACAGCCACCAGTGGAAAACTTATTTGAACAAATAATAAAGGAGAATGTCCCCAATCTGGCAAAGGAAATAGACTTCCAGGAAATCCAGGAAGCTCAGACAGTCCCCAAGAAGTTGGACCCAAGAAGGAACACATCAAGGCACATCATAATTATATTAGCCAAGATTAAAATGAAGGAGAGAATCCTAGAAGCAGCAAGAGATAAGGGGACAGTCACCTACAAAGGAGTTCCCATCAGACTGTCAGCGGATTTCTCAAAAGAGACCTTACAGGCAAGAAGAGGCTGGAAAGAAGTATTCCAAGTCATGAAATCCAAAGACCTACAACCAAGATTACTCTATCCAGCAA